GATGTTTGTATAAGTGCCCAATCTTCTATCACATTAATATCGGATAACTGATAAAAAATTGCAAGATTATCTTTTTCAGTAGTTTTTATTCTACCATTTACACGCCGTTTTTTTGTATTTTGTTTTGTTGATTCTGATGAATCAAAACGTTTTTTATTTGATGATATTGATTGTCGTTGTTCATCTGTTGGAAAAATTTCATGTAAAATATTTGCACATAAATGTGCTTTTGTTTTTAATGTTTCAAATTCATCGATTTGTTGTTGAATATCTTCATGCATATTTTGATATAGAAGAAGTTTATCATTTTCCAAAGTTTGTTCTAAACTTAATAATTCGGATTTTGTCGAATTATCTAAAGCTTGTAATTCAATTTCACGTCGTTGTTTCGCTACTTCTAATTGTAATTTCATTTCATCATAGAGTTTTTTTAATTCGTGTTGATATTCAGGTGCTTCTTCATTTTGTATTGATATTAATTTTCTATCGATTAATAAAATACTTTCTTCATATAAAATATTTTTTAATTTTTCAAATTGTCTTTCAATATTTATTATTTCATACATTATTTCATGACGACGTGAATCATAATAATCAATTGATAATGTCGAACAATCATCTTTTCCAAATGTTTGAATAATATGTTGAATTTCATTAATTGAATCAAGACAATCCTCATCAACATCTTCACCTCCATCGTCAGTATCATCTAAATCCGGATTTGTGGAAGGTGATAAAGACAATCTATGTAATGATGTGTTCGATGACATTATTTGATCATCATTTAGATTCATTGTTTATTCAATAATCTTTTTTTTTGCTAGTAAAACCTACGTAAAAGTTATTTTTTCCTATTGTATTAGATTAACAACCAACTAGGGGAAAGTAATAAAAGTGACACCTATTGTTTTGAATAAAGATTTATTTTTATTCATGAAATCATTCGAGAAAGATTAATGGTTTATTAAATATTGAGATATAAGTAAAAGCGATCGTATAAAATATAAAAAATATAAATACGTAGAATTAGAAGAAAAAAAAGAAGATTTCCGGTGCCGGGGATCGAACCCGGGCCTAGACGGTGAGAGCGTCCAATCCTAACCACTAGACCACACCGGATGATAGCAGTGAGTCCACAAATATATATTTATATGTTTTTTCTTTCGATTGATTGAATATTTGTTTATCAGAGTGTTATATCATACGAACAAAAATGTTGATTGGTTTGTTATCAACTGATATATAACTGTCTTTCTTCACGTTGTTTGTCACATGGAGTTACGATGCATCAAAGCAATGTACTGACTCCACTCACCTTCGATAATTATAGAAGGACAGAGAAAATAAATTATATTCACATCGTTTTTATTTTTCAGAAACTAATTTTTTTATGTCGTCGTTACCAGTGTCAGCTGCTAACGAAAATATACCATCAGCAATGGCAAATGTTAAATTTTCTCGTGTAGCACTTAAACCTGGTGGACATAAATCAGCTCAAGTTTGCTTAAACTTTATTTCAGAATTATTGTATTCGCTCTATATATTATTTAGTTAGCTTATTTTGATCAAGACGAAGATGTTGGACATGCAATGCAAACAATATTTCAAGATAAAATGTCGGATGTACCATCGCCAAAAATAATTATTGTACTAGAAGGTGGTATTAATAATTCTAGTGAACGATTCAATGATTTTAATGAAAAACAATTTTCAACATCTGTTGCAAAATTACTCTTAGATATTGGTACGTATGGTGATATATATAAGGACTTTGTATGAATTAATATGTACATGCTTTTTTTGTTAATTTAATATAGGACGAAATAAATTGAGTGATGACCAAGGTGCTCCATGGTTATTTAGTAACCTTCGACATGTATGAAAATTGTTGTATTTTTTATGCATAATATTTTTTTGTTTATGTATTTTTTATAGGATTCAGTTGCTGGACGTATCATTCAAATAACAAGACAACAATATTTAGCTAATGATATACCATTATCACGATTTGTTACAATTGGTATTGATGTTTGTTCATCTGTTTTGGTAGAAAAATAAGATTTTGTTAATAAAAAGTATTCTTATATGTAATTCTAGTTAGAAGAAGCTCCGTATGATTATCAAACACTTGTTGATGCAATTTCGGATAAATCTCAAGATAAAATAAAAAATGAATCAATAACAAATAGTTGTACAAATTCAAGTCGTATATTAAATAAACGTTTATCACGTGTTATTTTATATGGAAGAAAACAAGAAGATCTCACTGATCGACGTACAATATTACAAAAATGTGTAGAAGAAATAGGACGAGTACGAGATAATGATAAAAGTGAATCGGGTATGTTTAACAATTGATTTAATATGTAAAGAAATACAAAAATTATATTTTAATAGTTAGTGTACCAAAAATAATGTTACTGTATGGTGGTGATGTAGATAATGTTGAACCAATTCATCGTTTATTAAATGCTGAAATTGATCGAAGAAAATTTGGTTTGGTTATTATTCGAGTAAGTTGACATAGAATTGAACCTATATTTTTTTTGATATACACATATTTTAATTTTTAGGGTTCTGGTGGATTGGCTGATATACTTGCTTGGGTTTGTGATAAGATTCGAGGTGGTGGAACATGTACACAAGGTTCCGAACAAAAGTAAAGCTAACAAAAAAATATATGTATATATATATGTTAAGAAAATATATATTTTAGTCTATTAACACCAACATTTCTTCGAGAATTAAAAGTACTTGTTAATCAATTACTTGGCAATGATTTAACAGATGATTTAATAAAATTAATCACTTATTTGGCAGTAACTCGATGTAAAAAAATACGTGTTTGTGATGAAGATGATGATCTTTCTTTATATCTTCTTGAAGCATTAGTAACAGGTTAATAGAAATAATTAAATTAATTCAATTGAATCTTTCAGTTTTTTCAGCAAATCAAAATCAACGTTTATCATCATTAAAATTACATTTATCATTAGCTTTTGATTTAAATCAACCGAAATTTGCCAGTCGAATGTTACGTGCAAATCAAGATATACCTGAAGAAGTAAAATATTATTTTGAATTTAATTTTTAATTAATACAATGAAAATCATCCATAGGATTTAATACAATTAGCTAAAATGGCAATTATAAGAGATCAAGTAGAATTTCTTCATGTATTAGAAGATACTTGTGGTATAACATCAGATAATCTTGGTGAAAAATTTGAATGTGAATTAAGTACAAAAATGGTTTGAAGAAGAAGAAAATAAATATTAAAATAAAACTAAAAAACTATTCCCTTTGAATTTAGAATTATAATCATAATCTTTTTCTTGAATGTATTCAACAAGATTTTGGATGTGCTCTGGATGAAATTTATCGATCAGTAAGTTGAATTAAAAATATAAAAAAGAATATTATTTATTTTTATATTTTATAGGCTGATGAAAATAATGAAACTGCAGAAGATGAAATACAATCAATTAATGTCAAATTATTTTTATGGGCAGTATTTTTTGATCATTACAATTTATCATTACATTTTTGGAGACGTCTCAATGCAAGTTTTAAAAAAGATTTGAATTATGTTTTTATTTTATTTTATATTAGGATCGATTATGTGGTGCTCTAGTTGCTGCACTTGTCTATCGTCATACAGCTGATTTATGTGAGAAACGAAGTTCAACAGAAACTGTAACTGTACAAAAATTAAGAGATCATGCTGAGTAAGAAACATAAATGATTTCATTTGATTTAAAAAATATACATTTTATTTAGAATTTAATCAGGTATATGAGATAGAAAATCGTTTAGATTTTGTAATAAGTTCTTGCATATAGAGCATGTCTATATATAAAAAATGAATTTTACTCGAATCATGTTCGTTGCATTGTCTGCGTTTGCTTTTTTAGAGAGATTAGTATTATTAAGAGGACAACTAGAATTTGTCGATCTGAAAGTTTTCTTTTATCAAATTTTGCTAATTTTAGTGAATATGAACAACTTGCTATGCGTCTTGTTCAATGTCTTTATTTATCTAATCCAAATCTAACAAGATTAGCATTAAAACGCGAAAATTTTGAATTTAATAAACTATCATCATTAGAAGTTGCAAGTATGTTTTCGATTTATTTATTTAGAAAAATAATTGTAGACATATGAATTTATTTAGTTATATCGCATAGTGAAAATTTTGTTGGACATACAAGTGTTCAAGAAGTATTTGATAATATTTGGAGCGGAGACACAACTCATAAAGTAATCAACATCTCTCTGATTATTAAGATTTACGGTTATGAATTAATTATTTAGATAAAAGGTAAACATTTTGATCGAATGCTTGCAAGTACTGCGTCTTCATTTGGCCATGCAACAACAGGAATTCAGTATGAGAGATTAAAATTTATCTGTTTTACTTTGAAAGTATAAATTTGTTTTTATTTTTCTAGAGCAAAAGATCAAAAGGATTTCTTTAAATATATCTTTTCAATAAAAAATAAATTATCTCGTCCACGTGTTAAATATCAAGTTCATTTTTTATTCTACATAATTTTCTTATGTTTATTATCCTATCTCGTACTATTTGTTAAACCATCTTTAATTGAATTAAATGAAGAAATGGCATTTTCATGGGAAAATGGTTCATGTGTACATGATAATGCAGCATTTTGTGCAAGACCAAAATCTTTCACTAATTCATGGTCGATTTTACAATTAATTATTAATATTTGGGTATTTATGTTTGCACTTGAAGAATTCCGACAAGTATGAAAAAACGAAATTATTCCAATGAAAAAAACGTTTTTTTAATTTTAAGGCAAAATTCTTTAAAACAAAAGATAATGGAATAAAACAAACATTGCTGCTTTATCTCGATGAATCTTGGAATAAACTCGATGCTCTCTGTGTCATTATGTATGTGGTTTCTATTATTTTAGAATCTTACAATACACGAACTACATTAAATGCATCAAGGTTTACTAATTTTTTTTTTGATAAAATTATCTTTTATTGTTGTTTTATAATAGAGCATTTCTTGCACTTGACGTTGTTTTATGGTTTATACGTTTATTAATATTATTAATGATTGATCGTACAGTAGGACCAATGCTTTTAATGATTCAAGCCATGGTAGGAGTGGTCTGTGCTTTGTGTCGTTTAATATAAGCATGCTTTTTGTTTATGTTGACGTTTTTTTCTTCTGTTTAATATTATTTTTTATAAAATATAATTTTTTCTTTTCATTTGCATAGCTCAATGATATGGTCACATTCTTTTCCATATTTTTTGTCTTTACATCTGCATATGGAGTTGCTTCGTTTTCATTATTGAAAAATGGACAACTTCCATTTGATTTTGCTGTTTTTCGAAAAATTTTTCATGCTGCTTATTGGTAAAATTTTAATAAGAGACACCTTTGTTTTTATGAATTATTTGAATTTTTGACATAGGCATGTATTTGGTCAAATGAATGATCTCGATGATGTTAAAGGTATTTGTAAAGAAGAATTTACAAAACTAATTTTCAATAAACATTGTTTTTTTAGATAATTTTGAAATGACTGGATGGGCTGCATTTGTCTTACTAGCATGTTATATGGCTATTAGTAATATTCTATTAGTTAATCTACTTGTTGCTATGTTTTCGTATGTAATTATTTTATTTTAATTTAAAATCTCTTGTTTTGTTTTTGATAGAAATACATTCGATCGAATGTATTCAAAAATGGATACATTATGGAAATTTCATCGGTTAGTATTCATATTATTATTTCATATATTGCATTGTTTGTTCTTTTAGTTATCATATTATTAAAGAATATACAATTCTTACTCCATTACCACCACCATTGAATCTTCTTAGTACAGGAAATTATGAATTAAAACCATTTAATCGTAAGTTGAAATATATTTGAAATAAAGAAAAATCATATGAACTTATTTGCTGCTTTCCTTTATCTATCCTTTTTCTGTGTTATCTTCTATATTCTAGGGCAGACATCATTTATTGGTGAGTGTGTATTTCTTTCTTCGATATTGTTCATTGAGATTTTTGTAATGTTTGTATGACAACAATATTTTCTCGAAACTTTTATTTTCTTTTTCTTGCCTGCATATACATAAATACATACATATATACATACACAGGTATATTAGTTTTCTTTGAATACTTTTATATTTCTAGCTGAATTATCATCTGAACAAATGTTAAATCTACGACGACGAGAAGCACTTGCCTATGAAAGTGATGTATTTGAACAAGCAACAAAAGAAAGACAATCGGATGTTAATCAACAAGAAAAACTTGATTTACAATTACGTCAGTTACGCAAGATGATTTCACATGTTAAATTGACATGTGAAGCATCAACAATAGATGATTAAATTATTTGCATTATGTATATATTCATAGTTCTTCTTTTCTTTTTTGGATGTATCTTTCACCTATAGCATTGACAATGCATAGAGTGTATTTTGTGTGTGTTCTTCCTAATTGCATTGTCTTTTTTTCTTTTTACATTAATATGTATGTTAATCTTGCTCTTTTCTTTTTGAACGAGTTTAAATAAGTAGATAATGAAGGTAATAAAGAATTTGTCGGTAGACGACAAAAAAGGATAATATCGATGAGTTATTTGAAAAGATATGTAAAGATATGATATGAATAAAATAATGATCATATTTTAGAAAAATTTTAAACCCGGGCCGAGACGGTAAGAGCGTCCAATCCTAACCACTAGACCACACCGGAATAAACAATATCTATTGATTGATATATTTTCCTTGTTTGCCAATCAATACACATAGACATCAATAGTAGTTATGCATAACTTGCTCTAAGTTTAATATAATAATAATTCGATGTTCGATTACATTTTACATTATATCAAACCATTCTATAATGTTCATTAGGATCAACAATAGTTTTATTTTATTACTTTCGCATATTGATCATTGGTTAATAATTTTAAATTTTATTGTCATTCATCAACAGTAATTAATTTCATTGTCATTGGTAAAAATATTTTATTAGATTTATATAATCTTAAGTTTTTATTTCATCTGAATGCTCTGTGAAGCCGATATATTAGGCAAGTGAAATTGATTTGAAAACAGATAAAAATTCATGAAACTTTATTTTATGATCAATTAATATAGAAATATCCGAATCAAGAAGAAAACATTATTTCAAAGCAATCCTAGCGATGTGTAAAAAGTCCTTACTTAGTATTGAAAAGTATTAAGAGTTTTGATTTATTAAAGAGTAAACAAAAATATACTAAGATAAAATAAAAATTGAGAGGAAATTGTTAGTTTATATAACTTTGTAGTTATAAGTTAGTAGAAATGTATTAATCTATATATTGAAGACAAATAAAGCAAGAGAGACTTTCAGAAAATATTTCTAATTTAAATCGAATTTTATCAACAAAGATCAAATATTAACATTTATTTTTTCAAAAATTTTGTTTTTCTTTTCTTTAAGGAAAAACGATCATTTCCAAGGAAATAGAAAAAAGTACAAAACTTGTTTTAGTGTTATTACTAATTATTAGCAACAACATTTCCCTAGAAAAAAAAAGAGTGAGAATCTATTATTTTGAAAGAAAAATCTCCAAGAACAACTAATTAAAGAATTGACCTTTTTCTCTTACGACCTGGTACTCATTTTTAAAAATGAGAACATGAAGTCATTTTACAGAATATGATGTGTTGATATAACACTTATAGAAAATAATATCGTATGTATGCTTTATTTTGTAGAAATATTTTGATTTATAAGAAGATAACTGTTTTCTTTATTGAATCAATTCATAGAAATTTCTTCTATTCATTACATATTATTTCGATCTGGTTTTAATTTTAAAAAGGTAAATTTTCAATTTATTTTTTTTTATTGAAAATAATTATGAATTAGTTTGAAGTTATGAACAAGTTTATTTTTCAATAAACTACTAAATCTCTTCTTGATTTTATTACATAAGCTATCTATTTATTTATATTATTCTTACGCATAGTCCCTCTAAATATATTTTAATAAATAGTATATAAAAATAATTTCTTACATTATTTGTTTCTTTTTCGGTATTTATTAAGATTTACTCAATATTTCATCTAGAGGTGAGAATTTATTGTTATTTGTTCTAAATAACAGATAAATAACAACTAACTTTTATTTTTGAAAAATACCTTTTCTCACCTCATTGTATATTTTAATTGTGTCCGTTATGTAAACTTACATTTTGGAGCGAATTTTCGAAGAAAAAGTTATTTGTTACTTATCTGTTATTTATAACAAATAACTATTGTACAAAAGTTATTGTTGTTTGTAACAGAATAATAACAATAACTTCTCACCCCTAGCTGAAACTAAGAGAAAAAATATTGTTTTTAATCACTAATTACTTCGATTACCTGGTTATATTTTTTTTTGTTGAATCTTTCTATTATTTTGATTACTTTTTCTATGTCACTTATGGTGAATTAGAAAGGTACAACAAAAAAAAAGATTTTAATTACATAAAAATGTTTACATAGAAACCGAATATACAATACAATAGTACTTCATTTGGTCATTTTAACTTTTTGTTTTTGATAAATTTAATTTATGATTGTGCATAGAAACATAACCTTAATTTTTTAAAACATTTATCTACATTCCTTAAGATTCTATATAATTGTTTGTTGCAGTACAAATAAGTTCGTTTGTAATACACATTTATATTAGATCTACACAATGATTCACATGACTTACTATCGAAATATAATTAATATTCATTTTCTATCGAAAAAATCTAGAATATAAGATAATTATAAAACAGAAAGCTATATTGACTGTTGATTTATACACAATGAGATATAAGGAATCGTTACAATCTATTCTTGAAATAAAACAAAAAAACTTGCTTCTCCTTCTTTTTCTTTTTTTTATTATATTTTGTTTTCTGATGAATAACTATATAAAAGACATATCTGCAATAATAGTCATATACTGTCTTAATCTGTAAAATTTTATTCGTTCTAATAAATATTTTTAGAATATTAAATATAAATATAACTGAATTATATATTTTCATTTGATTAAGATTGTGAAGATCAAATTTAGATTTTTTGAACATGCATAATATTACTCGAGAAAAGTAAGAATATTATCATAATGTTAATTTTAGAGTTAGTATTGAATAAGAGATTCATATATTTATATAAATTGAAAACTTGAATTACATATAGTTTATGGTCTTTTAATTATTGAATAATCTTAAATAATACGTTTTCTACTTGTCTCATAATTCTATTCGACTAACATTTATTTGTTTATTTTTATTAATTAATATTTTACTATACGAAGATTTATTTTTGGGTTATTTTTAGTATATAATTGTTGTAATTGTTCATCATGTATATAAAATTCTTATTCTATTAGTTAGTGAATCAAAAATATAATATATAATATTTTATTTAGATATTAATCATCATGGCTGATAGATATTTAAAATATTTTTCGATAAAATCAATTATTATTATTATTGCGTAAGAAATATTCTATTTATTTTATTAGATTATATAATAAGAATAATTTTTGTTAGATTTTTAATTGATAAAATGTCGGCTCAATCGAATTGTTCAACGACTGTTTGGGCAGTGAATGCAACAACAATTGCTGGTTCACCTACGGGTAGTTCAGGTTTCAATTCAACATTATTATATTATCCAACAGGCATCTTGGTTGGTACAAATGATTCGATTTATGTCATAGATTATAAAAGTTCACGCTATCGTATGCAACTTTTTTATCCAGGTAGTCAATTAGGAACAATAATCATTAACACCACCAGTGGCACAGCTCTCAATCAGTTCTCTGGCAGTAAGTAATCGAAGATAATTGATATATAACCAATATTTTCTGTAATTTAGTCACTATTCTTAACATGGATATGAGTGGTAATATCTATGCACTTGATCAAGGAAACAATCGTGTTACAATGTGGGCCTCAGGAGCATCAACGGGTATAGTTGTAGCCGGTGGTAACGGATCGGGCAATTCTCTCAGCCAACTAAATACTCCTTGGGACTTTTTCATTGAGCCAAATACATCCTATATTTGGATAGCTGATTCAAATAACCATCGAATTGTCAAGTGGATAAATACATCGACTGCGATACTTATTGCAGGAAATGGTACTGGCTCACAAGCTAACCAATTTAATTTTCCAGACGGACTATTCATTGATACATCTGATTCAAATACATTTTATGTAGCAGACTGTTATAATCATAGAATCCAAAAATGGCTCTATGGAGCAAGCAGTGGAACAACAGTGGCAGGACAGTCAGGTGTGTCTGGTAGTGCACTTAATCAGCTTTATTATCCATATACTTTGACTATGGACATGAATAAATCATTGTACATTGCGGATTATTCAAATCATCGAATCGTTGTATGGTTATTAGGAGCTACATCCGGCATACTCATTGCTGGTACAGGCACCCACGGAGTATTACCATCTCAACTATATAATCCTTTATATATCAGATTTGATTCAACTGGAGCACTTATTGTCGATGATTATTATAACAGTCGTGTTCAAAGGTTTCCAGTTATTTGCTGTAAGTTTAATAAATAAATATTCAATTTAATTCATTTTTATAAAATATATTTGAATTGTATAGATACATATGACGAGAGAACGTTGGGAACTGCCCAATCGAATTTTTTGATATAAGCTATTGGATTAGAGATTATTCACTATGTAGATCCCAGATATGAGTATAAAAAGTCCTCTTATGTCTTCATGGGATGGTTTTCTAGAAAACCATTCTCAGAAATAATCAGCTTTTTACTAATTGTTGTTTTTATCCGCTCGTATTATGGAGCATATTGAATTGTCTATAAAACAACTGTTTCTGTTTTAAATTGAATCCTCGAGAGAATACAGTCATATAAATCCATATGACAGTTGCATACTATAGTAACTTAATACCAAAATAGAAAAGTTTATAATATTTTTCTTCAAGTTCATTTTTTTGTAAGAGAGGAAAATTTGTCGTTTTAAAGACAATTTGATATGCTCTATAATCTGAACAGAAATAAAAACAATATTTAGTTAAAATTTTATTATTATTAGATATCGTCTAAGAAGAAAAGAAGGCTTTTACTTACAATTTATTTTGCTTAATGATATTTTTCTTTATTTTATATCTTCTAGCACCAAATACGATATCATCATCAACAACATCAGTATTAACCAACTCAACATCAATCGCTGCTACATTACAAAGTAAGATGAAACACATTGAATCAAAAAACAAATATCTAAATTATATGATCATGTGTTTTTTATCATAGACACAACAATGGCTATTTCACTTACTACCAATAGTCTTACAACATCAGCAAGTGAGTAGAAAATTATTTGAAAAATAAAAAATACAAACATCAGATGTGTTAACTTTTGTCGCATATAGAATATCGGTTTTAAAAATGGTTTAAGTTTATTTATTATACTAGGACATATCCAATAATTGATTTTGTAATATTTATTTTAATTAAAGAGTTACTGTCAAATAGTTTAGAAAAACAAAATTGTTTTAACATGTAAAAGTATTGCATTAAACTATAGTAATACAGTGCAGCCAAGCGTTTATAGCAACGCACTTTTACAATGAGAAATGAATAGAAAATAATATAATAAACTAATGCATATTTTTCATGATGTATATTCATTTGAAAAGTTATAAAAATAACTCTAGTATATAATATTTAGTTGATGTTTTGTTTATAATTTGAAACATCTAATTTAGATTAATAAGATTCTATGATATAAATATATATTATACATATATCTTCGATAAGATGATAATGTTACATGTTATTTAAAAATTGAATACTCCTATTTATAGTATATGAATAGCACGGTAATATCTATGAAACGTCTAGGATTTATGAAGATAAATATGTTTGTAGGATATTTCGAGTAATAAATATTAAAATTGAATTTTACAAGAGATAAATAAGATAGCCGTAAGTGTTATTTTTTGAACAAAATTATTTAAAAAGATAATACCATGATATATTCGAATTTATTTTTAGAAAAATAATGAGTTTTATTCCACACTATTGACAAAATACATTCATTTTTAGTAAATCGATATTTTTGTATTTCTTCTAATTGACTTAACAGATGGAATTCAGAAAGTTTGTTTTGCAGATATTTAATAGGGATGCCTTATTATCATTACTTTTTCTTTTTTCAGTTTAATGTATATACATTAAACTGAAAA